GGTTGCCCCCAACTGATCCCCCTGCTGGCCTGGTTGCCCCTCATGGCCCCCCCGCCGACCTGGTTGCCCCACACAGCCTGCCTGTTCAGTCGTTTGGTGGTCCCTCACTAACCCCCCTGCCGGCCTGGTGTAGGCAGCCATCTTGTGAGGGCATGAGTGTTAATTTGCATATTACCTCTTTATTATATAGGATACTCTAGTGTACACTCAAATTTTGGTTAAGCAGGTAGATCTTATACTATGTGTTCTTACCAAATATAATTAATTAATTTTTAAAGGGTATGATTCATAATAAAGAGTTAATTCCATGTGGTTTTCTGGTGGTTAAATATAGCTATAGGTAACTTGTTACATATGCTAGTACTTCCAGATGATTAAAAAAAAATTTTAAGTTTTTCATTAAAGTTATTTATTGAACCTTCTAATTATAAAATTTAGTAGGAAGATTTTCTAATGAAAATCGCATTATACAGTCATTTTTATGATACAAATGTATTAGTTTCCTATTGCTGTTATAACAAATTACCAAAAACTTAATGGCTTAAAACAACAATCATTATTTTACAATCTCTAAAATCAGAAGTATAAAATAGGTCCAAGCACTGTGCTCCTTCTGGAAGTTCCAGGTGATCATCTGTTTTCTTGCCTTTTCTGGTTTCTAGGGTCCAACTATATTCCTTGTCTTGTGACCCCTTCCTCCACTTTCAAAGCCTCTTCTCTCCTCTAAGCTGCCTCCCTCTGATGAGGATCCAGTGATTACATCAGGATCATCCAGGTAATCCTGGAAAATATGTCTATCTCAAGATCTTCAACTTAATCACATCTGCAAATTTTCTTTTGCCCTGCAAGGTAACATATTCACAGACTCCAGGGATTAGAGCATGGACAACTTTGTGGAGCCATTATTCTGCATATCACAACATATTTTAGGAGCATGTCAGAGTTCAATTAAACTATGGAAAATACCCTGACAGACGTATCACATATGAAGAAGGCTTAAATTCATCAGACCTATCTGTTCACACACAACTAGTGACCAAAATGACTGATTTTGTGTACCAACATCCCATTTTCCAAAATCAAGCCTGAAGAGGCCAGCAAGTCACACCTGCTTTCAATACTTGCAGTTAACATCTTAGATAAACTAGAATGAAAGCCTGAGATACGTGCAGATAATCTCTGGAAACATCAGTTTCTTTCACCAGTGGCTTCAATCCCACACTCTTATCTCAATCACCCCACAAATGATGAAGAAATGCAAACTGCATTGGGAAATGTCCATTTTGAAATATATGAAGTTTGACACAGAAACTCTCATCGAGTTCTTTTGAGACTGGAAAACAGCTTTCCATAAATACAGAATCACAGCACTTATAGAGTGTGGTGGAACCTAGAAAATCTAAAAATAATACAGTTATTCTCCACTCTCCATGCCCACCCCACAACCTTCAATTTATATATGAAGATTCAAAGGATCAAAGGGCTTACTATGCTTTTAACCTCTTAGGAAAGCTGGTAAGTGACAGAGCTGGGCCTGGAGGCCAGGTCTCTGATTCCTGACCCAGTGGGTTTTTTTACTTTATCACATAACCTTCAAATGCCCAGATTTATTCCTTGTTTTTAAAAAAATTCAATGTGTGTGAAGGCTGTATATGGTGTGGGGCAATGGTGGGAAAGGCTGCCACGTATTGAGGACGTGCAGAATTCTATAGTAGACACATTTAAATATATTATTTGTCAATATTTTCTCAACAAGGTAGAAAGCATTACCCCTGCTTTTAAAATTAAAAAATGAGGTAACAGCCCCAGCTTGTAGCTCAGTTGGTTAGAGTGTTATCCTGACACACCAAGGTTGCAGGTTCAATCTCTGACCAGGGAACATACAAGAATCAAGCAATGCATAAATAACAATAAATCCATGTTTCTCTCTCTTTTCCTCTCTCTCTAAAATCAATTTTTAAAAAAATTTAAAGAAATTGTACTATACCATTTTAAAAAACAAAATGAGATAACATATTTTTAGGAAGGTAAGTAAACCCGATCATAGCAGGAATGCTCGGCTCTGGCCTAAATCTCTCCTTTTAACAACAAAGCTCATGAATAAATTCTCACTACATTTCTGAAGAAAGAATAAAGAAATATACAAGTTGAATAAGCAATTTCAAAATGTCTGTGATAAAACATTATGAGAAGAGATTCCTACCAATTCCATGCACTAAGAATTACAAAACCACACACACAGTGTTACAGTGTTACTAGATTCTTTGTTAATTCAACAAACACTCATTGAGTATTAATTATGTGCCAGGTGCTAACTCTATAAGATGTGAAAAAGCTAAATTAGGTGCCACCCTTATTTAATAAGTGAATCATAAAATTTCAGGTAGTGACACCTAACATGTTTTTAAAATCATAATTTCAGCCCAGCCAGCGTGGCTCAGTGGTTTAGTGTCAACCTATGAATCAGGAGGTCACGGTTCGATTCCCAGTAGCCGCAACCTTTTGTGGTGGGGGTTCAGGATTTGAAGAAGGGGCCGATGCACAAATGAAAACACTAGACAAGAAACATGAATTTAGAAGGCATGGGGGGGCCAGGTGGAGACCTCTCTCTTGGCACACTGAAACCTGGCCTTGTCTGCTTTTTATTCAATTTTAGATACACATCTTGCCCTCAATAAAGCAGGGCAAACAGGTAGCAAAGAGCCTGTCTCTAAGGTCAGTAAAGATCAGTAAGGTTCAGTAAACATTTACTTTGAGGCTATTAGGTCAGGAAATTGCTTTGAGCCACCACTATCTCAACAGAACAATGATGCTTGACATTAGCCCTGCTAACGCCCAAGGTCCATCAGCTTCCGCGTTCCTTGCTGCACTCTCATGATAGTATGGGCAGTGGGTGGCTTCCCACACCCGGTCAGGGCACATGCCTGGGTTGTGGGCTCAATCCCCAGTGTGGGTCATGCAGGAGGCAGCTGATTGATGACTCTCTCACCACTGATGTTTCTCTCTCTCTCTCCCTCTCCATTCCTCTCTAAAATCAATAAAAAAATATATATTTAAAAACCATATAATTTCAGCAGAGTAGAAAGGGAACAGAGTTTTAAAGGAAAAATCTCTCAGTAAGGTGACATTTGAGAAACAACCTAATGATGTGAAGGAGATAAATAAGAAAAGGCTTTGGAAAAGAGTGTGCTAGGCAGTGGGGAAGGCACTGCAAAGATTCAGATAAGGGCAAACTTTGCCCTGCATTAAGGCAGCAAGAAATCCAACATGAGCTAAAGCCAAATGGGCCACAGCAGGACATTAGGCAAGGTCTTGCTCATGTATGGCCTTGTAGGTCACTGAATATATTTTGGCTTTTACCCCGAATATGATGGGAAGTCTTTGGAAAGCAATGATGAAGAGACTAAAGAGACTAGGTTTCAATTATAAATAGATTGAAATCTGCTATATGAAGAACACAGTAAAAAAGACTACACAGGTCTTTGTAACACAAATTGGAACTACTTAATCTGACAAAAGGACTTGGTCAAAGTACAGATGCCAATCACTGCTGCCCTAAGGAATAACCCCAAAAATCAGAAACTAGACTAAATGTGAGGTGACCAAAAACAGTGCCAGGGTGGTTTTGTCATTCCCTACGCCTCCTTTTAGGAGCTTTTTATTTTATCATTTTCCCCTATTTTTTTAATCTGTAAATAAGTAAATATTAAAGTTATTAAAGAATACAGGGAATACCAATCTTGGCTTCCCATCAAAGATTGTAACATTTTTCTTAGATCTTAAAGTAGAGTACAAACATATTTTCTAGTTTTGCACATAGCACAGCTGCATCCGGGCTGTTAGTCAATTAAATTCTAAGAACTAGAATCTTTTTCTATATAAAAGGAATTTAGGTGTTATTTTAAATAATTTTAAAATAAAACTTTATTTTATTTTAATTTTAAGTGAACTTCAGGTATTATTTCAATAACACCAGTAATGCAGAGCTGATGTCATTGTGTTGTGGAGGCAGAAGAAGCTTTCCTCTATGGGAAACTTTCCTTTTGCTCAAAATAATCTCAGGCCACAGAGTTGCATATAAGGGTCACTCATCCTGGACCCCTACAATATTAAGTCAGAAAGTAGTTATTTTCCATGTAGTTTAAAATTTACTGTGTTGTAAATACAATTATAATCTAAAACATTAAGTGATTCTATTAACATGTGAAAAATACAATTATTTTCATGTCTTTTAAGTTTGGGTTCTCTAAAATTTCATAAGCTATATATAATAGTGTAATTTATAAGTGTAATAATGGTCAATATATATTGTCCAAAAAACAAATTGCTTTTAAAACATTATTATTTTTTGCATTTCCTTTCAGGGATAAAACTCATATACCTACTTCCTGACTATTGTCAAATATGGTTTTATTCACTAAAGAAATATGTTTCCTATATCCTGAAAAACAATATGAAACAATTTATATGATAGAACACCTGTTTTCTTGCACAAAGAATATTAATGTTTTCTTGTAAATTATTTTAACATCCCTCAGAAATGAGTTGTATTTATGACCATCTTAATTTTTTTATCCTGATAAATTAGGGTTTAGAAAGGTTGGATGGTGTGGTTTTATTTGGTTTAAAACAAACACTATGTTCTCTACCTGTAGTTGATCTAAAAGGACCAGAAAGGCCCTAGCTGGTTTGGCTCAGCATCAGCCCGTGGACTGAAGGGTTTGATTCTGGTCAAGGGCACATGCCCAGTTTGTGGGCTCAATCTCCAGTAGAGAGCAACTGATCAATGATTCTCTCTCTTATCATTGATGTCTCTATCTCTCTCTTCCTCTCCCTTCCTCTCTGAAATCAATAAAAATATTTTAAAAATTAATTAAAATAAAAGGACTAGATATAATCCTCTATTTGCCACAAATAACCCTTTCAACTCACAAATTACTTTGAAGTGAGCAGAGGTCCAGGGATGGGTGGATGATAAAGACTTTGTATGGGATTATGATTCCTAATGTACCTTTGAAGGTAACTAAATTTATTTTGTACCTGATAAACATAAACTCTGTTGGCTCTCATGAGAGAGCTGCATTACTTTTTAGATACAGAAATACTTGTATTTATGTTTACCACAATTATCCATGTTGTTCAAGCACCTAATTTACTTGTATCTAGTACTTGATTTACTAGAAATAACTAAGAGTACATTTTTCCCCATTTGTTCCAAGTACAGCCTCACAGACTACTAAATCCTATTGAATTACTTTTCAATAACGCCTACTTTTCACTAGATCTCTTGGAAAAGTAACTGACTACAATCTTGTTTCTTAAATTTACTTGGTCTAATAAAGAGCAACAGAGTTTGGAACAGAATTTAAAGATAGGGGTTTGGGGCAGATTCAAAGGGAATCCTTTTTCTTGCTTCCATGGTTGTTATCAGTGTAAACCATCCTTTTATTTTGGTAGTTGACAAAATTAACTGTTCTTGGGGTCCAGAACAAGCCACCTCGAGATGTACTTCAGTGGTTTGCAGATTACTTTGAGCTAGAGGTGATTTTAGCTTCAGGCTTAAGAGAAACTTCTTTCTCTCTCTTTAACTATCCAGAAGAATTTGAATTAAAGGCCTTGCCTATAAGCGACTATAAGAAATAACTTCTTTTGGCTTTTCTATAGGCCAGAACAAACTATTTTTTTAAATATATTTGTATTGATTTCAGAGAGGAAGGGAGAGGGAAAGAGAATCGTTGATTGGCTGCCTCCTGCACGCCCCCTGCTGGGGATCGAGTTGGCAACCCTGGCATGTGCCCTGACCAGGAATTGAACCCTGACTTTCTGGTTCATAGATCGATGCTCAACCACTGAGCCAGCCATTTAATTTATTAATTACTAATGTCTGTTCTTCTTATCCTCCAATGACCTCTTGAAGCCCCCAAGAGACCTCACCTCATCCCTAGCCCAGGATGTCTTATATACTTCAGCCCCCCCCTTTCTATCTCTGAACCTCGAATGTATGCAGGGTCTCTGATTCTCTCATGTATGTGGGCTTCCTGTGGGCAAAAGATTAAATTTGATTTTCTCTAGTCATTCTGCCTCCTATTGATTTGACAATTTGGCCAGCCATAAAGAACCAGAGGAAAGGGGAATTTTCCCTCTTCCTCACACTATGCTGAAGCACATATGTGTGTATATAAGTACAAAGAATACAGGAAAAAAGGAAAGAAGAAAAAAATGGTATCATTTCCTCAATGGATACAATTGGACTGGCTTGGACACAATTCTATCTATCTCCAAACTCACTCAGGAATCAGGAAGCAAAAAGGAGTGTTTTTCATAGACAAGAAGAGGGGAATGTGTATCCTACAGAAATGGACCAAAGTATTCCCTGAATTTGATTCCAAAAGACTGACAGAAATCAATAATTTTTAGGCTTCTGTTTAGCTTCATGTAATAGAAACATAACTATAGTGGCTTAAGCAAGTAAAGTTTACATTTTCACATAACAGGAAATTCTAAAGTGGGTAATTTAGGGCCAGTGCATTAACTCGACGATCCTTCAAGAAACCAGACTCCTTCTTCTCTTCTGCTCTGCCATTTTTTAAAATATATTTTTATTGATTTCAGAGAGGAAGGGAGAGGGAGAGAGGGATAGAAACATCAAACATAAGAGAGAATCATTGATTAGCTGCCTTCTGCACGCCCCCTACTGGGGATCGAGCCTGCAACCAGGGCACATGCCCTTGTCGGGAAACGAACCCAGGACCCTTCAGGCCGCAGGCTCTATCCACTGAGCCAAACCGGCTAGGGCTGCTCTGCCATTTTTAACGAACTATAGAAACAATCCCTGCAAATGTAGTATTTGCTATTTTTAATATGTGCCTCTCCTGCAGACACAGGAGAAGCTCTGAAAACCAAGTAAAATTTACTCCTTTATAAGAGACACTTATATTTATAAGGGACATCTTCATTTGTAAAGGTGTCTCCCTCAGTACAAAGAGGAGGTGTATCAAGTCTTTAGAAACTTTTAGGAGTGGAAAAGGCACCAACCTAAATCCCCATAACAACTACCCTCCTTTCCTGTGCTTTTCCTGGTGACCTCCCATAACTGGCCTCCCTTCTGCCAACAGCTTTCTTTTGTCTTTAGCTGGAGATGGAGTTTAAGATGGTGGTATGGGCCATTTCAGGGAGTTGCTAAATTTCCTGGGTATCTCCCATGTTCACAAGAGGCACATATGTGTGTTTTCCTCCTGTTAACCTGTCTTTTATTACAGGAGGGTCTCAGCCAAGAACCTAGAAGAGTAGCGGGGAAATTACTTTTCCTCCTTCACAATAGATCCATAGATAGACAGACAGATACATACATTCTATTTGTTCTGTTTCTCTGGAGAACTCTGACCGATACACCAACCAAGTTAAAAGGCTAAAGAAAAATTTTGATTGAAGAAGTTTAAGAATATATCTATAAACCAATTGGGAAATATGCAGGCTAGACTGATGTACTCTTTATGTTAAAATAAAGAGATGATAATAAGCTAATAACCAGCTATTAACCAGTTTTTTCCACTGAATGCAAACTTTTTCTTCAAATCTTCCTTTACAACAGCAGCTGCTGGCGAATTTAGAGGTACGCTTGTTTTTAATCTGTACTTGTTTTATAGTCTAGACATAATAGATGCTTCAAAATACCTGACTTTGAATCATTACTTATTTTGTACTAACCTTTTCACTTCACCAAAATGAGGTTTGTAAACTTCTGTACACAATTAATTTACTTGTGGAAGTCAGAATGTCTCAGAGGAGTTCAGTGAAGTTGAGTAAAATCAGAATGTAAAGTGTGATGGCAATTTTAAAAAGTGTATATCGATGCAACCACGTGTACATATTTTCTAATATTTTGCTAGACCTTGTACTTAAAGAGAGTATCCTTTTTCTTTCTAAAATACAAATTTCCAACACCAGTAATGTGTTAATTTCCCTTTACCTAAAAATGTGTCTATAGTGACAGCTTTAGCTTTATCAATATTTTCAAGAGACTTCCTGGGCATGGGTGTGGTTGAAGAACCTGTAATCCTTTGATTAAAAACACACACAAACATGTTCTAAGTAAAGGCAAAAACCAAAACAAACATAGAAACCTGTTTATTAAAAAGAAAATAAATATCTGTGAAGTCAACTAGTATTAGTTTCTCTTAAAATTCCAAACAGGAAATCTAGATTTACCAATATATTAGACCAAATTTACATTCAGAATAAAACATGTTAAACTATAAAAGAATAGAACAAAAATAGAAGAAATGAAGAAAAATGAGTACACCGTAAGGATTAGATATTTTTTAATATATTTTCTTTAGAAACAAAGTATACACTACACCTGAAACCTATATGTTCATGTTAACTAATGTCACCCCAATTAATTTAATAAATTAAAAAAATAACAAGTGTGCAAAAGAAAATTAGAGTATTCCTTTTTGTTCTTGTTATAGGCAGAAAGTTATGTGAACTGTGCCAACAATTTTTGCTGTTTTTGTTTTTTCCTTAGGTCACGTAGACCCTGCTTACTTACAGAAAACAGCCTGCCTTACCCCGTGCGTGGTGTTTTCTTCCTGATGTATCAGCACTGCCTTCCCCCTGCCTGGCCACATTCATATGCTAGAAATAACCTAGAATGAATGTTTTGTAAAGTGACTGGGATACCCTTAACATTGAAACTCAGATATCCAAGTAACACATGTTGATGCATGAGACTTGTGAATCTTTTTCTCCCCAGATGCTCACCCTTTGCTCCAAGCCCAAGCCAGAAGGCCCTAGTTTTTTCTTTAAAAGATTGGGGTAGACAGCTACTCATTAAAGGATGAGGAGAAGAGAAAAGAGGAGGGTGACAAAGGAGTAGATCTCAAACAATGAGTATTTCACAACAGAGAAAGAGCAGTGGGCAAGGCAGGAGCAAGAACACAGGGATCCTGAAAGACTGGATCCTGTTTTCCTACCTTGCTGCTAGTTGTGCCAATTTGGGGAATATATGCTGTTTTCCTACCCTTTGTAATCTTACTGGGAGGGATTACAACCATTTATAAAACAGCTAGAGGCCCAGTGCACAAAATTCATGTACTCGAATATATGCTGTTTTCCTACCCTTTGTAATCTTACTAGGAGGGATTACAACCATTTATAAAACAACTAGAGGCCCAGTGCACAAAATTCATGTACTCGGGGTGTCCCTCAGCCCGGCCTGTACCTTCTCGCAGTCTGGGAGCCCCCGGGGGATATCCATCAGTGGGACGTCCTCAGTGCTGCCACAGAGGTGGGAGAGGCTCCTGCCACCACTGTTGCACTCGCCCGCCGTGAGCCTGGCTTGTGGCTGAGCGGTGCTCCCCCTGTGGGAGCGCACTGACCCTCAAGGGGCAGCTCCTGCATTGAGCCCCCAGGTGGTCAGTGCACATCATAGCGAGCGGTTTAGCGGCCTTAGCATATCATTAGCATGTTACACTTTGATTGGCTGAACGGATGACTGGATGACCGGACACTTAGCATATTAGGCTTTCATTATATAGGTTTGGTCTATCCCATTCCCAGACTCAATCTTCCTTCCAAACCCTTGCCAGACCTCCCAAGGTGAAACCTAAATTCTGTCTATTCCAGCCCAGTTTTAATGATGTCTCCCTATTTTTCCATGTCTACAAAATGATAGGTTTAAAAAAAATACAGTAAACAGGTGATATTTGGGAGAAAGAGGATTGTACTTGGAGATGTAACATGTGGGTAGATGTACGAGGTCTGCCAATTAGAAGCTGTGCAACTTTCAGCATTTAATTTTTGTGGTGTTGTGGTTTAGAATGAAATAGAGGAAAGAAATGTTCAATAAGAATGGGTAAGTCTTATCTCAGCCTCTGTTTGCTCATCTGTAAAATGTGATAAAAAAAAAATTCCTAACTCTGGGGCGAAGAGGGGGTGGTTGAGGGTGTTAGGAGATGAGATTATGTATGTGAAACACCAACATAGTTTTGTCAGGTCCTACTTCAGAAAGTAATTTCTTCTCCCTTTCCCTTTCTGAGAAGCTTGCATATTGGTGCTGGGAAGCCAGCCTTCTCCCGCGATCTGTGGATGCCATGATTAGTAATCCAAGCCCCCCACCTTGGTGGATTATACATTCTAGGAACTATAGGGTTTACCTGGAGGAGTAACTGAAATAACACATGGTAAACTGAGTTTTACATGTTATGTTTAAAAATTAAAATATCCCCTCATAAGAATTCAGAAATCCAAATATAGAAAGCAGCAAATTTTTTTATGCAAGAAAATGCTATTCCTTGCATTTTTCATTATCTTATTTGACTAACTTAGTCTTCAGACTATAATCCCAAATACACAGGCAAGTTTTTTTTAAATAAACAAGACAAAAAATCTAACGGAAGACATCTATTTTTAGCTTCCTGCTAAGCCATCCCTTGCTTGGCTGTAGTTATTCCAAAATTGGCCATGGTTTAGTTTGTACAGTTCTAAGAGGGGGGAAAATAAACTTGTATAATGGATTTCTAAGTATGCACTACTAAATGTAATTCATTTTTAATGCAAGTTTAAGTGAAGCAGGACATGCAGATATTTACCACCAACCATTTATAAAACAATTGTTCTATCCCATTCCCAGCCTCAACCTGCTGCTGACCTTGCTCAGGGTCCTGACACCCCAAAGAGGGTAAATCAACCCCCACTCCTCACCTCCCGCCTGTCAGCCAGAGCCACCCATTGTCTGGCTGAGGGAGTCCTGGAAACCGGCCAGAGCTGTAGCCTGCGTGTGTGGTTTAGTTTTGTTTTGCTTTGAATGATCACACACTTTTTGACCTACACTACAGACAGACGTTTTCTTTTATTTATTTAAAAGAGAAACCCCAGAAAAATGAGTTCTAGATGATTGTCTAATGTTATAAGAAATAAATTTAGGTGAATGATTATCATAGAATAGCATGGCTAAAGAAGAAAGAAATAAAGAAAGGAGTCAAGCATGTCCAACTTATTGAAAGAAATCCTCAAACATATCACCAATATTAACTTCACGTATTGACACAAACTTAAAAAATTAAAAATCAGTTTGCTCTCCTGCCGGAAGCTACAGAGAAAAGAAAACAGTTTCCTTGGAGTAAGTCTGCAAGAGTTCAATGTTTTTCTTGGTGGTTAAGAAGAAAATCTGAAAAATAAAAAGGCTTATAATTTTGCCAACAATTATATTTCTAGACTTTCAAAAGTATTAGTGAACAGCTACTCTAAAATTAATGTGTATATAAAATTTAATCACATCAAAGAATTCACACAGAGGAAAGTCTCAGAAACGACCTCCTGCAGATGATGTCAGCGTGCAAAGAGGCGTGTGGAGAACCACTTGTTTTTTCGTAAACTCTAGTAAAAGGGTTCAGACAGGCGTAAGGCTGGATGTCAGGAAATGAGCTTAAGCACAGGAAATGGGAGATGTCTGGTTCAGGGAATCTGAGGAGGGCTTCTCCCAATGGGCACTTTTGTTTTGCTTTCCATGCTAAGTCAGGATACGTGCGTTGCCTTCCACATGTACAAACCAGAAACACCAAGGTGATAACATCTAGGAGGGCACTAGCCCCAAGCTTTTTCAAGTGAACGCTGTTCACTTGCAACCTCGTGCCAGCTTTTCTTGATTTGGGCTGAAACATGCAGGAAGAGGAAGGGAAAATGAACAACAGGTTGAGTGCTGATGTGATGTGTTTTTTACCAGATGGAAACTGAAGCTGGGACAATATTCCCTGGCCTAGGAACTTGGAATCAGGACACTGAAAGGGCACATCGAGTCCTCTGCCAGGATACTCACAGGCAGCCCAGTGCAGGGGGTGCGTGATGGTGTGCAAGGGGGTGGCTTAAACGCCCCCATAATCTCATCCAAAATTAACATACAGCCTAATTTAAAACTGTTTGCTCAAATCTTCTGTCCAAGTCCCATTACACTCCCACCACAACCACCAGAGAATGTTGTCTCTAACCCTTTCTATACAGAAATTTTGGAAATGTTTATAGGAAATTCGTCTCTGAAGACCAAAGAATGCAGCTAACTCCCAGGGAGAAGCTGAGACAAGAGTCCCTGTGGCCCAAGAAAGGATGAAAACAGAGTCAGTCAGTTCCTAACCAACGTCCAGTTTGTGTGAGCCCAGTTACATGTCCTGCACTTTTCTTTCATGAGAGCCACCATGATGCTCCCTAGAAAATTCCTAAGCCAGGTTGAGTGGGTAGCACGGCAACCTAGTAATTTCCCACCAAGACAGATAGGACTTAGAATGAAACAAAGTGTGCTCAGATGGAAGCCTTTTTGCTATGGGAAAACTAGTGGGGGAAGATGGGAATGCAAACAATTTTCAGAGTTCAGGGACTGCCCTTAACCCACATTGGGAAACATTTTATCTCCAAGA